AACAACGCCGAGTTGTGTGATGGTAGTAACCTCTGTAAACGACTGGAGGAAGCCTCTGGTCGATTATCTAGAGAAAGGGATACTGCCAGAGGATCGCCTGGAAGCTAGGAAGCTGGTCCGAGATGCGACACAATATGCGATCGTGAATGACCAGCTATTCAGAAAGGGTTTGCATAACCCCATGCTAAAATGCTTGAACTCGGAAGGAGCAGAGTACGTCCTTGCCGAGATCCATGAAGGAATAAACGGGCATCACATGGATGGCAAAGCCTTGGCCAGAAAGGCCCTCAGAGCTGGTTATTACTGGCCGACGATGGGGGCAGATTCTAAAGAACATGTCAAGAAATGTGATAACTGTCAGAAGCATGGCAAGTTAATCCTTTCACCACCGGAAGAACTGGAATGTATCTCGGCCCCTTGGCCCTTCTTCAAATGGGGAATGGATTTGCTAGGACCTTTTAAAGCTGTTGAAGGGCAACTCAAGTGGTTGATCGTGGCTGTGGATTACTTCACAAAGTGGATAGAAGCAGAACCAGTCACCACAATCACCTCGGCTAGAGTGCAAAGGTTCTTTGAACGAAATATTGTTTCGAGATTCGGAATCCCAGCTGAGGTGGTTACTGATAACGGAATGCAGTTTTCTGATAAAAAATTCCAGCAGCTAATGAAAGACCTACACGTCACACATCGTTTCGCATCTGTGGAACACCCACAATCGAATGGGCAAGCCGAAGCGGCCAACAAAGTGATTGTGGAAGGTCTCAAAAAATGAATGTTTGCTGCAAAAGAAAGCTGGGTTCACCAGCTATACTTTGTCTTGAGGGGTTATAGAACCAGCACCCAAACTGCAACTGGAGAAACCCCTTACAGACTAACGTATGGATGTGAAGCCTTGATTTCGGTAGAGATTGGAGAACCCTCATGGAGAAGACTGAATAGTCTTGAACAAGGTGAGCAACAGAATAGTAGAATGCTTATTGAAGAATTAGACCTTGTGGATGAAGCTAGGGTCACAGCTCACTGCCGGAATATGATGGCCAAACAACAGACCGCAGCAAAGTATAATAAGAAAGTGAGACCAAGGAATTTTGAAACAAATTCATGTAATTCGCAATTTGATATCAATAAATGAGGAATTTTTTTTTTTAAAAGATTTATCCTTGTCTATCTTTGATATATCAATATCAAATCCGAGGTACAAATACAATTTTCCATAGTGACTCTGATCAAGTCAAAATGTCACTATTTTGGTCATGATACCAAAAAGGGGCAGATGGCATTATTGTTTTAACCTTAGATAAATTGAGTTATGAAATTCAAATTCAATTAAATGGCTAAGTCAAAAGAAGAGGTCCATTACATATGCAAGCTTACCAGAATGAGTAAGTTAAACAAACATGCGTCATCGAATTGACATAAAGCAGAATCCGTACGATGCTTTGACCTCGACCAGGTCATGAATTAAAAACTCGTATGATGCACGAGTTTACAAAAACAAATTGGGATGAAGATTTCACCCAATAAGTATTGAAAAATAATGCAACCTCGGTATATCACTCATCAAGTACGAGGGTGAAGTATATCTAAATAAATCGGATTTGAATCTGAGCAACTTAGGAATTACTAAAACTTGGGACAAATCCGGGTATGAAGAGGAATGCTACCTCGTAAAGGGGCTTATACGTATGCCAAGAATGGTTAAGTCATATCATTCGATAAAGAAAAAAAGAGTTGCCTAATCAAAAAAGCAAAAGCATTACTGCAACGACATGCTGAATTCTGACAAATCGACAACCTAGATAAATGCATCTACGGTGAATTCGGAATTAGGAGATGAAAAACGACATACCATAAGGCAGGATATTCAAAGCGAAATTGTATGTCTAGAAAATAAAATTAAAACCGGGATAAAACCGGCAATATTCAAGATAAATCAAAAAGGGGCCCAAAGGACCCCAACAAGTTACAAATCCAACCGACAATCCGGCCCTTCATTTTGTCGGGTTGGCAGGAAGATCTTCTAGCACCACAACCTCCTTGCCGGATTGGTTGGTCGATTCAACTTCTTTTGCGGGTTGGTTGGTAGCCTCATCACCATCCTCGACGGCAGCAACTTTTTCGGATTGTGAAGCTGAAACACGGGAAGGAGAGGCGGCAGCTGGAAAAATGATTCGACCATCAACAACATAGGTACGAGGGCTTAGGCCAACCACATTCAAAAGCAAATCTGGGTTCAGAATTTGCAGTTGGCTTAATGCATTATAAAAGGAACCAGTGATGGACTTTTCAAGTTCACCCCGGTAGAGTTGAGCTTCGTCCTGAGCCTCCCTCAATTGGGCCCTGGCTTCCTTCAATTTGTCCTGCGTTGACTTCATTTCCCCCTCTGCCTTCTCATACGTGACTTTGAAATCACTCAAACTCTTGCTGTTGTAGGCATGGAGATATTGGAGCTTCTCATGCTCACTTCGAAGTTGTGTCAAGGATTCTTGTGCTTTTCCCAAGTCAGACGAACTTTAGGTATATTTTTCCTTCATCGATGAAAAATCTTCTTTCACCTTGAGCAACTCGGCAACAGTCTTTGCTTTTTCTTCCTGAGAGGCAGCAACCTCATCAAGAGAACAAAGATACTTACGCTTCAACGAACGTAATGATCTCGTTAACCCAGACAACTTCAGGCCACCGAGCTCCAGGTCATCCAGTACCTTAATTTCTTCAGCTGTGAAGGGGTTTGCACTGGAGAATGACTCAGGCGGACAAACTGCCTCTCGAATAGCTCAGACACCCCGGACTGCCATTCAGTATGCTTGGCCAAACCAGAACACGAAGGAGGAGGACGAGCTTCCATCACTTGCCGAGGAGAGGAGGGAGGAACATTTTCGGCGGGGATCTCCTTGCCTTTGTTCCTAACTTGCCCTTTTTCTGTCACCTTGGCCTTTGTTTTGTTGACAGCATCCTTGTGCGGATTCAGCTCTGACAACTTCCTCTTTTCCCCCAATCCGGGGGAAGTATCCTTCTGCGACAACCCGGAGGGAGACTCGTTCCTTCCCTTGGTCAATGCGGCCAACCAGCTCGGAAGAGTGTTCGGTTGCTTTTCCATTTGGGGAACTGAAAAACAAAATAATGAAATCAGTTGTTAAGCGCAATATAAAGCACTTCAATATAGCAATCAGACATACTTAATTCGGCATCAAGCTCCTCTTGAGATTCATAAATGAGAGACGCAAGGCTAGCATGCTGATGCGTCTGAAGATATGTATCGATGGCGATCACGGTATTAATATCATTGGAGTCTAGCTGGGATTCTTTAAAGCAGTAGCTGGAAGGAGGAAATTGGAAATGATCGGATGACCAGCATAAGGGAAACTTTCCCTCTACATCCTTCGTGCCACAGTTTTGGAGAAACCATACCTCCTTACCGGGATGCGCGCAAACCTTAAAGAACTTGTTTTTAAAACCTTTAAAAGACTCCGTGTAGACCTTAAAGAGTCTACGGCCAGGGACACCTCGGACAGTGATCCAACCTTTCAGTTTTGGTGGTTCGCGACCAATTCGACAAGAGATTACATGAAAAAAGAAAAAGAAAACCATAACGGAAGGATGAAGAACAAGGTAGGCACAAAATCGCTCAAAGGCCTTAACGAAACCCCACTCGTTGGGATGGAGTTGTGTAGGGCATATGAGAAGATGATTGAGTATTTCTATCTGAAACTCGGTCAAGGGAAATCGGAGTCCGAGTTGAGTAACGAAATCTCGGTAGAAGAAAAAGAATCAAGTACCCTCTTCAGTTCCGCCTGAACATACGGGTTCGTCTTCTACAGGAGTCACGATGTCAAAATTTTCAACCGACCCGACAGAAAGTCTAGCCACGTCCTCCGCAGAAAGCTCAGACGTGGTATTCAAAACCTCATGAGTCACCCAGGGAAACTGGGATATCAATGAGGCTGGCGGAGACCCACAATGCGACTCGGAAAAACCAGATTCCTCTACTACCTCTTGATGGGGAGATGCCATAAATGTCTAGAAAAACAAAAAAGTTTAAATCAGAAGGAAAGAATGGATATACCTGCATCAAAAATACTAGAAGATGATGAGTCACTAGAAGATGAAGAGCTGGGCACGTCAGAAATAGTAATCGGATCATTGGCCCCACCAGATGCCGACATTGATCCAACAAAAATTCCATGCCGGCAACTTTCCAAAGTGGACTCGGCCAACAAGTCACATCCTTGCTCGACAAGCTTAGAACTCAGATAGACGCAAGAGTAACATGGGACACCTCCTGAGACAGAGGAAGGATAGGGGAAAGCACGGATGTTGGAACGTGAACCCGAAGTGGTCATGGGCGGGAAAGAAAGCAAATCCCCGGGTTGAGAAGACGGAACTGAAGGACTGTTTTTTATGAGACACTTATCCCGGGAAGAGCAACATCTACCCCGGTGAGACCCTAACTCCCTATTCGACACCCTGGCCCTTCGCCGAGATCTACCACCACGGCAGCCTCGAAGCATAGCTTCCTGCTCTTCTTCTTCGGTCCTGGGAATCCCCCAAAGCCAAAAACGAGCACCTGGAGGAATCTTTTTGAAAAAATCAGGATCTTCCTCCCTCTGCCCTTTAAAACACAGAGCTGAAGAGAGTTTTCCCCCCTCATTTGGTCAAAAACTGAAAAACACTAAATGTCAAATAGCAAAGGTGGTGACCATCAGCATGACAGGAGGGAACATACAACTTCTGAAAGAGGCAAACTATGGAAGTTTTTCACAGGTTCTGGAGAAATAGCAAAAATCGACGATCGAACATATACATCTTCAAATTTAAAAAGCATACTAGCAAGCAAATGTTAAAGCGCAGAGTCGCACAATAGAATCAACAAAAAGCTGAAAATATGTGAAATACCTGTTGAAGGAAGATGAAGAACCGAAGCAGAAATGGGGCACAACACTTAGAAGACACGCACACGAAAGCAAACAACTAACGCTGGTGCACAATGCTCAAAAGCGAAATGAAAGCATGTAAAAGGGAAAGAGGGCTTATATAGCCAAGCAAGTGACCACTGAAGTACGAATAGCAAAGGTCAGGGTTATTTAGGTCCTTTCACCCTCAACTCATAACTGCCACGATCGTGGGTGGAAACCGCAATCATCATGCGCGGAAATCACAACGCAGAGGAGGCTAGGGGGCAAGGGAAAAACTGCCACTTCTCACACACACAAAAAAGCAATGATTATACAACTGAAGCGATGCTGCAATAAATGTGCACGAAACGCAATGATGGCATAAGAACGGCTGCAGCACGCTAAAGCATGCGGGCCGGAACACGTGGCACAACGCAATGAGTATAGTTCGCAAACCTACATATGAGACAAGGTGTATATGAACATACAACTATTCACCGAGTTTGGAGCTGACGCTGGGGTAATAGTCAACTCACGGTTATTCCAGCACATCTTCTACCCGGCTACACAAGGAAGCAACAGGCATACATGCATGCCCCAATAACCCGGGTAAAATGCCGACGCGGGTTCTTCATGAAAACACCGACGGGATCATGCACAACCGTCGACCAAATAAATATGCAGATACATTCCAAGATAAGGAATACCGCTTGGGGGCAACCCCGCAAGTGGGATTAAACAACTCAAGCGTATTCCTAACTCGGAGTAGTAATATGGTTGATGCTCAACCAGCAAGGCAATACGAGGGAAATGGCGCTGCACATAGCGAAGGTAAGAACTCGAAAGCAACACGTATGCCGACATTAGGAGGCAACCCATAGCTTGACATTGTACCTGACCCAAACAGTGAGGTACGCAAAGTATCTCACCGGGTTGATGCTCAACCCGTCGACATAAGGGGGAAAAAGACATCCCGTGAGAAAAAAAAATTCCCTCGTAAGCGGAGCATGCAAGTCTGCAGAAACGCAAACACATTCGGGAGTAAAAAACTGGAGAGATACACTCATAAGTTCATCCCGACTACCCGGATACCCATGTAGCCAGGCTGAGGGGCAACTATTATGGACCCGTATAATGGGCCCATTAAGTAGCAAGCCCAACAAGGGGCAATCCAAGATATGGATTGATGCTAATAAAGGATAGATATCCATCAAGGATACTAATCCTAATGCGACAACAT